CAGCAGCAGCAGCAGCAGCAGCAGCAGCAGCAGCAGCGGTGGTGGGCATCGATGTTTGTCTGTAGGTTTACGACGCTTCCGTGGAAATCTACGCAAGGGAAAACTCTAGTCGGGCGTCGTCGAATGAATTATGGAATGCGATTTACATTGGCTCTTGCTCATATTTTATTGTTGTTAATGTTTTCATTTGGTTTTTCTTCTGGCATTTTCTTATTTGGCGAATGCATGAATTATGGATTTTGTTGCCAGAGAGAAAGAGGGCGAGAAATTTGTTTCCATTGTTGAAATATTGTGTGTGTATTGGAGAGAAGGGGCTTTGGCTGCGGCCATGGATGAAAATGGATGAGCTCTAAAAGAAGGAATGAACTTAAGATGATTCTCTGGTAAGAAATAAACAGATTTATTCTCAGCGATCTGTGCGAAAAAAGTTCGAGTCAAAGTTCTTTCATAAAAAGTACTCGAATTTGTCTTGTTCTATGTCATATTAAATCAGGTCCTTCCACTGCCAGAGGGCAGCGTTTTATTGAACTAGTTTTGACCTCTTTTGGGGAGTGCCATAAAAAAAAAAGAGGACGAATCTCCACCACTCGAATGCAATAAAAATGTATCCAAAAGCTGTAGAGAAGCAGCAATGGCAAGTGACATTAGTGTTGGAGAAGAGACAGAGGGACAGTAAGAGACAGAGACAGAGAGACAGAGACAGAGAGAGAGATTGTTATATTCTTAACAATATTCCGGATATTTATGACCTTTAGCCCCTAGAATGTCCAAGGGGCAAATGGAGCGTGTCCCGTGTTCCATTTTCCGAATGTTGAATGTTGAATGCGTGAAAAATGTTGCGAAAAATTTTAATGCGCTCGCTGCGGGGCAACAAATGGTACAAATGGAAATGCGGGAAAAGGAAATGGAGATGCAGATGCGAAAAATGGTTGGCTGGTTGTGAAATGGAAATGGAAAACGAACAAAATGGAAAAGATGACAAATGATTATGGAGCATAATAAATTTCAGCGCTGATTGAGCGAAATGCAGAGCTGCAGCTGCAAAATAAAATGCAGGAAAATGTGGCACCAGCAGCAGGAGCAGCAGCAGCGGCAGCGGCAGCAGCAGTCGATAGGTTTCCCCTCTGGGGGCGAGACATCCACCATCCAGCTTCCATTAATGAAGCTAATTTGCTGCACAAATCCCCGGTCGGTAGCTGCTTGAAGCCTCAATCGTTTCTTCGAATCCAATTCCAAAAGTCGACAAAGCAAACAGACACAACGGAGACACAGACACAGCCACAGAGATTGAGCGGAAAAAGTTGATCCTGGTTCAGGGCACACTGCTTATGGCCGACACGAGAGTGTCATCCACTGCTCCTATCATATCTCAATCCAGGAGGGTGGTTCGTTCTCGCTCTCATCATAGCTCTAACCAAGAGGAGGCTCTTGGCTGAGAAATTGCCGAGGCAGCAACTTTATTGTCTCCTCATATCACATGCTCGCTCTCTCTTTCCCTCCCCCTCTCCACCTCTCTCACTCGAAGTCCGAACGGAGGAGTCCTCAGCTGTGTTCAAGAAGTTGGAATTTGTTTGCTTCGAGTGCTTCCAACCCAGCAATTGCAAGTATGAGTGGAAGTGGCAGTCGAAGTGGCAGTGGCAGTGCAACTGTAGTTTATGTCTGCCTCGTTTTTGCTCTTTTATTTGCCTCTGATTGGGTACAGTGCACGACAAAAGTTTGTCACTTGTATTGGCTGCGCTCCATTTGCCACTGTGGACTGTGCCTTTTGTCTACACTTTTCTTCCATCACTTCGAATGTCCCTTTTCTCCTCCTATGTCTGCTTATATCTCATATCTGTCTGCTTTTGTCGCCCTGTCTGACATCAGAGCAGCAATAAGCTCGGCTGGACATGTGGATTTATTGGGATTATTAAAAATATATGAAGTCCAAGGGGGAGCACAAGGGTTTCATGGGGGTTGTGGCTTCGGAATAATCATATTATCGGCAGTTTTCTAAAGGTTTTTCATAAGTACATCATTATTTTATTTTTCTAGGAATTTATGCATTGGAAATAATTCCAATATGCTTCCTAAACATTCCCAATCCATTCTTTCTTAACTAAACTCTGTTTTTCTCGAGAAATTTCAATGATTTCAATTCCTTAAATACAATCTTCGATTAGATATTGTATTATGTAAGTTAGGAACCTTTGCTTTTTAAGGCATTCTACTGTCAGAAATACCTCTTTAATATTAACTCACCATTCCTTCATTTGATTGCTTTCTATTCGCAGAAATATCTCTCGAACTGCAACCTTTCGTTACCATTTTAATAATAGAAGCCATTGCCATTGCTTTTTTCCCAACAGGAAAAACTAAGCACCCATCCAACTGTTTCCAACAGGAAAACGACCCACGAAACTATATAAAAAAAAAAAACGGAAAAGCTTGCAAGTAAATGTTGCTCAAAAGCAAAATACCCACAAGGAAATGTTTCGGGAAAAAGAAAAAAGAGACCCACAAGGAAATGTATTTAAGCGATGAAAAACCCCCGCAACGAAATGTCACATTTAATATGCATTTTTATGCATTTCTTTCAATTAAATTGCACTTGATGCCATTAAAAGGGTGCCAGTGGCAACGGAAATGTGCATCGACACGCGATACGGTGATCAAGAGGCACCACTCCACTCCCCCACATGAGAAACCAGAAAAGGACTCTGCTCACCGCCCCCTTTGCCACATTAATTGTGTGTTTGTCCCCCCTCAAGCCCTCCAGCCCACTTGTCTGTTTGCCTTTAAACTTGTAATTAGGAATACTGGGCGGGGGTGGGGGTGTTGACATGCCTCCCGTCTACTTTATTTGAAAAGTGCCTGGTGCTCATTGTGTGGGCGTGGCCTTGCAATTAGAATCCGCCTGCAACCCACCGCCCCCACACAAAAGGTTGGTATGTGCGAAATGCGGAGTAAAGAGATTCGTTTACCTTTCGCGGGCGGCGGTGGGGTGTTCTATTGTCTGTTGCATGTGCGGTTTAGCGTTTAGCTTTTCGCTCAGAGATGCCACTAGATGCTGCTTGCTACATGCCGCACAGAGCACACAGTGGTGCAACTTGTAATCGTTGCAGGCAACGCAGGCAAAAGGATTTCGAATACTATTTCTATGTTATCCTGTGGCACACACTGCTCACTGCAGACGACACACGGCACTGTGTGTATGCAAATTCCGCGTACTCATTGCCTCTTTGTGCCCGTTATCGCACTGCCCCTTGCTCCTCGAATCTTTCCCGCTCGCTACACACGCTCGTATCGTATCTCGTATCTTTGCCTCGTTTTGTGGTTTAGAGCCAAAGCCAGAGCAGTGGCACATCGCTTTGTTCTCACCTCACACAACATTTCACATTTCACATTGTTCCGCCGCGGCGTATCAGAGCTTTTGCATCTTTAAACAAAATTGCCAAACCGCAGAGTGGTGGAAAACTCAGAGGCAGAGAGAGAGAGAGAGAGAGAGAGCCAAGCCCCAACGCTTGTAATCCGAGAACCGTTCGATGTGAGGCGCCTGATTAGGCCCCAGGGCCCGGACCCCCACTAACCGCAGAGCCAAACAGAAAGTCCTCGACAATTGAATGGAAATTCGGGATTCGCAATCGCTTAAATATTTATTCAAGAGACAGACCAGAGAGACGTGAGTGAGTCTTTGCATTTGCATTTGCATTTGGGGCGAATTATTTTCTTACAATTTTCCACACAATTAGGCGGCAAGGAAAGCCACACACATGCAGCAGCTGTAGGAGCAGCAGGACCCACCAGCCCCTAGGACTCTGCTTTAAGCCACTGCCTGGAGTCGGACAAGGAGAAGTGCCTTAATGCCTCTGTAAATTGTGCTTGCAGTTTGGAGTTTGAAAGGCAAAAGATACATTTGTATCTGTGAGGCTTAAGTAGCTCGACAGTTTCCTCTCTGCCGCCCCCTGCCCGCCCCTTCCGCTTCTCAGCAAACTCACTTGAGAATGAAAACCTATTTCACTTGCCAGAAACTTGTTACCGAAAGGCTGTCTTGGCTGGCTGGCTGGCAGGCAGGCAGGCAGGCAGGCAGCGGAAGGAACGCAACGGAAGGCTGTCTGACAGTCAGACGTGTGGAAAACTTTTCGCCGAATTTTATATTTATTTGCCCTACTTCTTGGGGGGCAAGGAAAGGGGCTGGATGGATGGTGTGTGGGCGTGTAGGCGCGCCTCCTGGAATAGGCATTTTGCATCGAGCGGGCGGGCAAAGCGGCCTCATCATCATCATACTCGTAAAAAAAAAAACAAACAGAAAGACGGCAAAAGTTTTTCAATTTTTGCAACAACTTTAGCAGGAGACAAGCCCTTCCATCAGAGTACGTACGCCTCCTGTTGCCGCCTACCGTTTCATGCCTCTTACAGGATACGATACGACAGGAGAGGAGAGGAAGGCATAGGGATCCTCCACTTTACGGGGTTAGGTGTAGGAGTTGTGTAAACATTTGTAGTTTACTTTCAGTTGGTGGCAGGGCGGCTCGTAAAATCTGTACGCTGCGTGGGAGGGGGGCCTGGAACCCTCTCGTAACTCAGACCCAAAAATCCCCCAACCAACGACTGCCACTGCGACCTGTGCTGACCCGCAGGTCGACATACATAACTCCCTACCCTGCACTCACTCCACGAAAGTTTCGGGGTTTGTTTTCCCAATTGAATTAGAAAATTATACCAAAAGTTATTTGGGATTAAAGAAGGATGGAAGAAAGGATGGGATAGAATAGGATTGGATAGCGGCATTAGTTAATGTAGTAGAAAATTACTTGGACGATAAAGTAGGACTCGGAAATGCTCAATCTATACCTTTTTCGAAATTAACAGAAAACTTTGCAAATAATTTTGACAGAATCATTGAAATGAATGCGTTTCGATCAGCAAAGGGAATTAACAAAGTAATAACAGGGGGAAATAATGAAAGTGGAAGGAAGAACCAGTGGGCATGTTCTGCCTCGGCATCAGTAATACCCCGTAATCAGTTTTCTTTTTCACGAGATAAACGCCTATGAAAACCGGGCAGAAAGCGCTTTATTTCTGATATCTTAAATTTATTCCTTCAGCTGTTCATTTGAATCGTCATAGACATCCTCATCATCGTCTGTTTTGCGAGTACAACCATCGGAATCATCGGAAGAGTCGCCCATTTCCGATAGATCACTGTAGTCCCAGTACTGACTCGGTGGGTTGCACAGTATGCAGTAGTTATTCGACTCTATAAAGCATCTTTGGCAATAGATTCCTCTACAATTGTCCGTGTCACAATGCACATTATCCGATCTGAAAGAAAGACGGGAACAAAAAGAACCCCAGATGGATGGTATACAAAGACTTACGCGGTCAAAGCTTTGCTGCAGATGATGCAGGTTTTGCCAATAAAAGAAGAAGGACAACCGCTAAAGCACCTGCAAATTGGTTCCAATTGTAAGCCAGAGGGATCAGAGATATATTCCAGAGAGTTGAAAACTTACCAGATCTTTAGGGAACTCAACCAAGAGAGACACACAAATTGCTGGCCCTCCGAATAGAGTTGCAAGGAACGAGCTCTACGTCGGGAAGTCTTGATAAAAGTTGCTGACGGATTACAGTGGATTACAGTAGAACCCTAAACGATAAATAGATCCGGGCACTCACATCTCTCTTGCAGTATGCGCTGATGCAAATACTTGACTCTTCGGTGGGCATCCTCGGGATAAAAGCAGGCCATGATCCAATGTCGCAGACGAAGGCTGTAGGGCTCCCAGACTAGGAGCAGCCAGGCCAGGACACAGAGCACCAATACCTCGTAGTAGCGGAGTACATTTGGCTCTCCTGGCACTGGCAGACACTTTTCAGTGCCCACCCCCAAGTTCTTGGCCAAGGGCTCGAAAGCATGCACCAGGCGACGAAGTATATCCCCGATCATGCCACCCTTTGTGATCACAATTCTTGTGTAGGCAGGAGCTAAGGGATATATAGCCACAGATTGGGCAGAATTTCCATGAATATCTCAGCTCTTAGCTCACGTTTAAGACCCGCAGTTTTGTGGGCATGTTGGGACATCATGGACAGCATTATATAGAGACTGTAGTCCACGAGACATATGGTAAAAAGCTGGATGCCAGTGATAACCAAAAAGAGCATAGACCGTGTCATTATCTGCAATTCTTCGGGCAGCAAACGGATGGAAGTTATCTGCAAAGGAAAATGCTAACAGAAGATGCTTGGATGTGGAAGCCAAGAGGTGGCAGCTACCTGCACAAATTTGTTCCTTTCGGCCGCACGCAGTGGCAGAACCCGAGCTCCAACGATGGGCTCCTGCTCCTTGTCATACGAATCGAAGGACTGCGTTAGAAACACATTGTTAAAGTCGTTGCTGCCCAGATACAGCAATCGGAAGTAAATGGAACGCAGGATGACAGTGAACACCAGAATGAAGACCACCAAATCGAGGCACACAAAGAATAAGACAAATGTGCGCCTCTGTGCCTCCAAGTGTCTGACGATCTCGTGCTCCAGTATCACATCGCTGTCCCTTCCCAAGGAGTCATTTGTGCCATTTATCTTTTGCTTGCTCCCGAAGCTAATGCTCACCACAAAAATGCTTCTAATTTTGGAGAAACTCTCCTTTAAGCCTGAAAGAGAGAGCAGAAGGATGTATCCGGGACTCAATCTCGGGTCTGGCTGGCACCTACGTTGAAATATCTGCTCAAAGATCTCCTGTTGCAGTTTGACATTGTGCTCGAGAAAGCTGCTCATTTCCTTGAGATTCTCACAGAACCAAACAAAGCGATCCTTGACATTGCACTCCTTCCGCTTGGCCCCGAATTTGGCCTGGCACTCGTGGATGCTGACAGCTCCTGCTCCAAGGCAGCGGTCATAGGGTCTGCCCATCTGCTGCTCAAAGGATCCCTGCTGTAGTCGCAGCCATTCGCCACAGGATTTGTAGTTGGCATCTGCGGGGAAAGGATCGCAATGGAGCAGCAGTAGTATTGAAATTGACTTACGCATTTCAGCAATAGGTTTCTCCAGATGCTGCAAGACCTTATCCAGACCTTCCATGATCTTTCGCACCTCCATGACGGTGCCCTGCACAGAGCGCTCTACGATATTTATGGGCTGCCCCATGATGTCCTGCATGGGTGTGAGGGCCTGCCGCAAACGACTCTGGCCACAGCACAGACTGTGCGCCATGATGTCAATGTTTCGAATGATGTTCATCACGGGTCCAGTGCCGGCCACAAAAAAGGCCAATGCTATGAGCAGAGCTCTTCCTCGATGGCTGCCCAAAGTGGGAAAGATCAATGCCACAGCGCATCTGGAAAGAGATTGGGAGTTGCATTAGGCTTACAGATCCCTGGAGCCAATACCTCGCTGCACGACTGTAGGCGAGGATCATCATCACAAGGAAGAGGAGAACAATGAGCAGCCACTTCTCGGTGAGGTCTTCACCGGCACGCCGCGGATGGCGATAGTACCAGATGAGCACCAGGAGAATGCCCAGCACATAGCCCGCGATCATATAGAGCGTAATGTTGTCCCGACGATCCCAGCCAGAAACCACAAGGCTTTCCCCTGAAGAATCACATTCGGGAATTCGTTCCACTGACTCCGGATGTAGCTGGTAGATGGGAGCCTCGCCTTCGGGGCTAGCAGGCCGTGTGATCAATCCTTTCTCCTCTGCTTTATCATCTTCTGCTTCTTCAGAGTCGTCTGCGACGTGCGCTCTCTTTGAGGCTAGAAGGTCCTGATTGTGGATCCTCTCAGGCATCATCACGTGCGTGCTTCTAGAGTAGTCCCTGTACTTCTCCATCTCACGTCTTGGGCTACGACTGTCTTGAGAATCATCTTCGGAATTACTCATTATTAAAGCGAGAAATTTATATTTCTATCTGAGTTATATTTTTATATTAGCAAGAGACTTGAAAGTCACAGAAAGCTAACGAAAAATGGGGGTAATATGGAATAGAGTTTTTCTTAGCGGCAATTAGCGACAATCCACTAAGAAATTCTTTTGTTACGAATTCCAACTAAATTTTAGTGATACCAAATGGGTGCGTATAGGAATTAATGATACTACAGTGTTGAAGATAGGTTTATTTCTGTTTTTTTTATCAAAAAGAAATGTTTCTTTAATTTGCAAGCATAAAAATGTTTTTTCTTCGGTAATTGTTTTAAAAAAAGAACAAAAAAAAAAGAAACTTGTGACAGTTTCCCATACCGGGAATTGAACCCGGGCCTCCCGGGTGAGAGCCGGGTATCCTAACCACTAGACAATATGGGAGATATACTTAGGAATCATTTTTATGAACTTCAACTGGAGGGAGGACAGATATTAGGACCCTGAAGGAATTATTATTGTATTCATGTATTTATGTTTCCAAAAAAATAGGTTTTTCTTCCAATTCCATGGTCTAAAAATAGAGGGTTATTTAGAGATATTTTCCTACTCTACTTTCATCCCAGTGACAGTGAACTGCAATGTCTGGCAACATTTAATTTGCATTGCATTTACAGATTTACTGTAATTATGGGGGGGTAAAATTTATAAAACCTTTTGTCGGAATTCGAAATTAATTAAATATCATTCAACACTCGAGAACGCATTGCCACGCAACGCATCATTCAGACAGCTGCAGGAGGCTCCGGGTGGAGTCGGACAACTGCAGCAGTCCGACTCTACCTCCAGTGGGAATGGCGGGTGGGGAGTGGAGCACCATAATCATCAATTATTCGCACAATTACCGCAAACAAATAAATATTCTTAATTTATTGTGTGTTTTCGATTCGAGCAAACAGCAGTGGCAGTGGCAGCAGCAGCAGCAGCAGCAGCGTCAGCGCGAACAGACGAAAAATCGGCTACGAAAAATAATATTAAAAATAAATTTCGACAACAGACGAGAGCAAAAATTTGGGGGATGGATGGATGGATACTGGTTGTTGTTTGGGGGATACGTGTATATGTATGCAGACTGCCCTGAAAATCGTGTGTGGATTGAGTAGATTGATGTTCATAAATTCTGTCTGCTGGCTGGCTGCTATCCCCATCCCCCTTGCCCCGTCTGCCCGTCTGTGAGTGTCATGCAATAAATTTCATAGATGCATTTGGTAATTTCAATTTGTTTTAATGTGTCGCGTTGCCTATTCTATATCTATATATCTCACTCTCTGGCTCTCTGGCCCTGTCTGATGTTTCAGCGTGTAGACACATATAATTTGAGGTTTATTGGCCGTGCTATAGCCTTTGGCTATGGTGTTTTGCTATTTTTGGCCTGCGGCCTCGTGGGATGTGTCTCTCGAATGATGATGATGATGCCCCCAAAAGCAATTGTCGCTGCCTATCCAGAGTAGACCGTTTTGCGGCGCAGCTTTTGAACTTTCCCCCAAGGGATTCTGCTGGTGCAGCAGCAGCAGCTTGTTAAACATCCATAAACTTGCATTTAAATGTGGAGAAACTTGAAGGCAAGTTTATGGTAGAGCCTGGCAGAACTTTTGCCCTAAGAGAGACCATAAATCAATTTCACTTTCGATGCCTGGAAATGGGACAAACATTTCCTGCATTCCTGCGCACAGGAAGTTGTGGGATTAGTCCCCGTGGCGCCACCATTCGTTTTCGGGGATTACTAAATAGGATTACTACCCATCCATCCATTCGTTTCATCATAATTAATAAAGTGTCATGCACCATGGTGTCTGTGTCTGTGACTGTATCTGTATCTGTATCTATTCCTTGCCCCAAGTTCTGTTCTTTCTTTGGTGTTTTTTGGGGGGGTTTTATTTCTGGGGCAACATCTTCTTTTCGGTCACATGTCCCAGCCATAAAATAATGTTATTTTCTGTTTCTAATGCTGTTTCGCCTCCAACGATGTTTTTGTTGTCATCAGCCGCAAGCTCTCACCTTTCTTTGCCGCCGGTAATCGTCGTTTAGAGTTGGCTTTTTCCCCACCGCCTTTCATTCTCTTGGACCTTCATGGGTGTCCCCCCCACACAACAACAAATTTGTCGTTTGAATGGTTTCCGCAATGAAGCGACAAAACTGACAGCAGCATTTCCACGAAAATTCAGCTCATAAAGTGCGCGCGCGCATGGTGGAAAAATCATTGTTGTTGTTGTCGCCTGGTTCTGCTGTGGCTGTGGTTGCCTAACCTTTTCACGTTTTCCTTTCGGCGGGAACTTCCTCTACTTGCTGCTGGCATTGCAACTGGTTTCTCATTTTCGGCCTCTCGCAGTTATAGCAGCAGTAGACTTCATTTCTTTTCATTAGCGGCCCCATCTAGGGGGGTTACCAAAGGCCATAAAAATGTAACCAGTTACTAGGCTACGCGTAAAATGTTCTCCTCGCCTCGCCTCGCCCGTAACTCTCTCTCTCCCGTTCGTTACAGTAGCGCTAAATGTATGTGGACTACCTACCCAACTTACTTGATTGCTCTTTTACTATGTAATATATGTGTTACTGGCACAGACAGTCCGCTGTTGGACGGACATCGGCACTTTATTAATGAAAAGCGCAAAAGTTCTTTCTATTTTTTTTTTTTTACCCCCGCCGCCGCTCTTTCGTTTCGGTTTCCCACATCGTGCGTGTGGCCCACATTGAGGTCAGCCCACAGACAGACAGACAGAGCCAGAGATTTGTTAACTGAAAGTGAACGGTGGTAAGGTTTCTGCAATCTGCGCTAATGAAATGCTCTGGTCAGTGGACATTACTGGGGGTATACATATGAGGAAAGTTTTGGCCTCGCCTAAAAGGTCAGTAATTAAATAGTCTCATGTCGAATGAGTATGAGTATGAGAAGCAAAAGATTGTTCTGGATAAGAATATCATAAAACCTAGCACAAAGAACAATCCTGAAAGGAAAAGATTACCCGATAAAGAACTGAAACTGAAACTAGGCTCCAGAGATTTTAAATGGATTTTTAAAGGGGAAGCCTCATTTCAGGGGTTTATCTTTTAATGAAAAGTATTCAAAAATTGATACAAAAGCTGATGGTTGGAGAAGCAGAAGAACACCAAGTCCCCAAGGGAATATGATGAAGAATCGCAGCCTTGGAATGCAATTAATTTCAAAGCTTCTCATAAGTTTTTTTTCTTCAAATTTTAGTCCTGTTATGTGATACATTATCTTTGCTTCGCTTCAGCATTTTGGCAGTATCTGCTATAACGCTGATAAAAGAGGTACTCTAAGTGGAAGAATCTGACAAATTTTGAAGAGAAGTGGTAGGATTTAATTATTTCCCTCTACCAGATATCAATCGACAGAATCACTTGCCTCCTATTGTATGTACTCTTCGCTACCCGATCCTCTCTCCTCTTCATGCAATGTTTGCTTATAGAGATTGCCTCCCTCCTTCGGCGCTTTTTCCATACAAATTCGAGTTCATTTTGCCTTATTTGTTTACACTGACGCACTGGGGCCCTCAACCGAAGATAGACCCAACATAAAACTGCACTGCACAAATCATAAAAAAAAAGTACACACAGAGCTCTGACCCCCCCACACCACACTAACCCACAGATCGTCTAGCCCCCCGCGGTATAGGGGCCCCTCGAATGCGAGTGCATTGAAATTAGAAACGGGAACAACAAAAATCATAACTGAAAATAAGAACTGGAAAGAGAAGAAAAGAATGAAACACATTTGAGACACGACACCCACCATCAGAGGCGAGTCTCTGACAAGTCGTTGGCATCTCTGTGGCGCATGTTAATTATGCTACCTATACACACAGTCCGCAATCCGCAATCCGCGATCCTCAAATCTCCCCCATGCCCCGAGAGACAGCTGTCAAGATGTGGGCCGTGGCCACCGATGAAAAGACCTTGACTCTTTGCTTGGAAGATCTTTCGGATACGATTTATACAAGTATTTTGATTCATGGCGTCTGCCCGCGACACTTTTTGTGGCTATCTTTGGCTCTCGATTCAGAAATTTAATTCATTTCGTAGGCAAAGCATGTGGCCATATGTGTCGCCCCCGTCACCTATCCCCTGTCCAACCGCCCCATCCCCATCCCATTCCAGCCATCAATGCCAGAATTTCGAATCGACAAAAAAATTTAAATTCAATCAGCAATTTGCATAAATTTTGTGCAGAGTTGCCAAGAAGCTGCTTAAACGCTTTATATGGCGGGATTAGCCATCAGCCCACGACGACCCCAGAGCCAAAATCCCGAACCGAAACCCAAGAGACGACGGCGATGAATCCGTTATGGATTGGGGGGGCCGCTGACCCAAAGTGTGGCAGCTAATGGGACAGACGAGTGACAGAATGGCCAAGTGACTGAATGAATGCGTGAATGAGGGTCTGAATGACTGACTGCTGCGTGGGCCAGTTCCCCCCACCACACCACCTGATTGACTGACGTCCAGTGAGAGGGCTACTATCGAATCACACCCACATCTCTAGCTGAGACACTCTCCTCAGCAGCAGCACAAGCAGCAGCGACAGCAGCAGACCCCAATGGTCCCCAAACATTTGCAAATTGTCCACAAAAATAGCTCGTTGAAAATGTTTTGGCTGGGGGTTGGGGGTGGTGGCAACGTCAGAGGTGGGGCGCTAGGAATCGCATCTGTCTGTGAAAGATCGTACGATTTTGTATAGCTAAAACAGAATTGTTTAGTGCATTCCAAAAGGGGGAACATTGAAAATACTCTAGGGTTTTATTTGAATAGCAATTCGAATTAAGATAAATATAGGTAAAGGTGTGACGTAACCCAAAATGCATGTGAGAGGTTCTGCAAGGCTCCGAAAGTAGCTCCAAGACTCCAAGAGTACGGCTGAAAGACTAAAACTCTGCTTTAGAATTCAACAAATGTTCAAATAGTAACGACAACAAACCAAAACCTTACGCCTGGCACAGCATACCCTCCTTCCTATTGTCCTGGGTATCTCATATAAATATCAGCAACTGGTGCCTT